TAAAAGGATTATTATTTTTATATTGGTAGCAAATGGACTTGTTTAGTTTTTATATAAATAAAAAAAAAAACATGATTTTTTTTTTTTCTTCTTTACAAGAAAAAGTAAGAGACTTTTTCTTCATTTCTTAACAAAAAATAATTTTTTATTATTTGTATTTTTTTTTTTTTTTTTCAAACATATGAAAAGAGAAAAAAAATGTTAGTGTTTTAGAAACTTTTCGAGCAACCCTAAACACAATGTAAGCTTATCCTCAATTGAAGCGCTCACAAAAGAATCGAGTTGATATGACTTTCGATTATCCCATGCCGTATTCCTATTGCCTATTTGGTCAGAGGCCTGATGCTGCAGTACTTCTGCGTCAGTTGCTCGAGTAGCTTCGTTGTTCTGTCCTTTGTGTTATTTTGTGTGTGTTAAGTTGAAATTTTTTCACGCTGATTTCGATCATCTGTTCGCCTAAATGGACTTTATTACTTACTTCACTTGCTTTGGGCTGCTTCTGCAAGGTTTACCAATTGAATGCTCTCTTCTCTGCCCATTTTTGTTGTCTGTTGGTTTTCTCATTTGTTTTCGTTTTTTTCCATCTATTTCCCTCTGGCTCCCAATTTTAATTTAGGTTGATGGCGTTGTCATACGACCCGGACATTCCAATCTCGATATTGATGATTTAATGACGCGCAACTCGAAGCGCTCTGCAGGCGATGCTGGCGCCCAGTCAGCCGGCGGCAATGGCGGCGGATCCGGCGCTGGTGGCTCCGCTTTCAGCGGTGGCTCTGGCTACTTTGGAGGAGGCGCGGCCACGGCCAACATTGGTGGCCATTATGATGTGCTCTTCGGCGTTGTTACGGGCGAGTCCATTTGGCGCTTCAGCGCTCACGACATACAGAATGGCTTCGAGGGCGAGAGACGAGATAAAATTATACGCACTTATGTGCGCAACGCTTACAACTACCATCTCAATGAGATATTCTATACGGTAAGTACGCTCTGCCTATAAATATCCTCAGCTAACTTCACCATTTGCCTTGCCAAAAACTGCCAGACCGGACCGGACCGGAACCGGCTGTGGCTCCGACTCCGGCTCCGGCTCCAGCTCGAGGTCTGCGGCTTGCAGTCCGTCACATAAATCTTGTAATCAGATTGCAGCTTCCCAGTGGTTTTCCCTGTTCGGGCTCGCTCGACAGGCGCTTTTTGGAATCAGTTAGTGGTGCACCTTATCTCCAGACTACTTATTTACTACGTGGCTCTTTTCGCTTGGGATTGTTGCCGACTTTTCTGTTTATTTGCTGGACTTACTCCTTTTTTCCTATTTCACCAAAAACTTTGCCGACTTTTGATCCCAACTTATACAAAATGTTGTCTGAGAGCTTGAAGAGTGAGGCTAGGAGGAAAGACTTAAAAACTTTGAGATAATATTCGACTGGTTAAAATTACCAGTACACTCATGTACGAGAGAAACATTTATAAAGTTCAACATTGTCGTTAGTCAATCACCCATTTTATTTAAATGAAGATATCGCTCCATGGTCAACCTTCAACTAGCGTGAAAAACTCACGATATAAACACATTTTGCATAAAAAGCAGCAACAGCGAAAAAAGAGAAGAACGTAAAACAAACAAAAAATAGGCATAAGTGAGGCAAATAAAAATAAAAAATAAAAACAAAAAACGTCTATTAAAATGTTCGCTTGCGCGGTGTAACTGTAATTATAAGTGCCCGTACATAACACAGTGCGTATGAGTAACATTCGCAACAGCATATAAACACAAATGGAGGCTGAATTTTACTTTGTGTTACTGCAGCTTTTCAAAATATTATTCTATTTTGTGTTTTGTTGTTATTTCTTTTTGCATATCTCGTTTGTTTTTATTTTATATGAGCTTTTGTTTTTTTCTTCCCTCTTTTTTTTTCATTTCTTGTTTTGTAATGCGCAAGCGAGCGAAATGGAAGGCAGTTAACACGCCATTGCAGCCAAAACATTAACACGCTTTATTTGGCAAATGTGTAAGGCTGTTATAACTTTGTATGTGTGTGGGTGTGTGAGTGTGTGGGAGGGGGTGTGTGTGTATTTGTGTAAGCATTGACAAGGACACTGTTGCTTGCATTCGTACATAGCCATGTATCTGTATGTAGATGTATATATGTATATCTATATATGTGCCACACACACACACACCTACTTAAAAGCATACAGACTACACTTAACCCAAATCACGGTAGCAGCAGCAACAGCAACAGCAGCAGCAACAGCAGCAGAAGCAGCAAAAGCAGCATCAGTGAAAGCAGTTACAGCAGCATCCAACAACAACAACAACAACAGTCGTATTCCTCCTCATCCTTAGGTACATCATCAACGCCAGACGACGTTGTCACCATTTGCCATATTAAAACCAAGTATTCGTGTCTCTCTGTGTGTGTGTGCGTGCCTCTCTGTATGTGTGGCTGCACTTAAAGCCCACACAGACACACATGCATACATCAAGGAGCCGTAAATTGCCAACGCATATATCACGATTATAGCACACACCATACACACCATTCGTATTTATTTTACTTCATTTTATACCCGTGCGCTGCCGCCGGCAAATGTCAAGCTCGCTGCAATTCAGCGATGAGGTTTATAATGCATTCAGTAATGGCATATATAGCATTCATGTAAATACCACGCCAAGCACTTTGCTCCGAGGGTTAAGAAATGAATCTGCAGAAATGATATATTCTCCCCTCTATATATATATATATATAAGTATTTGCCAGCGAGATGAATTAACAGCAATTCGTAGGCAGAATATGTGAATGCAAAACTCTCCGAATTATATACATATATGGAATTCTTAATATGTATATGATGACTACACTTTGAGTAGATGTATTTGCATAAGGCATATTTTAGGGAAATTCTAAAGAATATTTTATCATTTGTTAATTTGCTGACTGATTACATTACTTTGTATCTTTTGATATTAAGAAATACTTGAAATTCAGTTAACATTAATTTACTTTAATAATGAATCAATTTATACATCAAATAAAACGCAAACAAATATTTGATGTACGTTCATAATTTATTTCCTATATATGTATTTTTCCATTTAAATATGAATTTAGAATATAAACTAATGCAAACGATTTATTCAAAACAAAAAACCAAATAGTTGTGTCAATTCGAGCTTTAAATTATACATGACATCGATTTCGCATATGCATTGTGTGATCCCTTTTAAAAGCCACACACATCGTGGCAAAAATAATAATAGCCACAGAAAACAAAACACAACAGCAGCAGAAATCCGGCTGTAATCCTGCCAGGATTTGACTTGCTGTACAAGCAGAACTGTGCATGCATTACGCCAACATAGTTTGCAGATCTACTCAAACTGGGGCGCGCTCGGATGTGGCATAAGATTTCGGGGGCTGAGTAGGCAACCAGAACGAAATATTTATAAAACTGCACCGGAGGCAAAACTTTTCAAGTGTCAGACATCAATACATCATGGCTCATCCTTTGTAGGCAATAATCTTTATAATCAATTTTAATACTATATATCGAGATACTCATGGATATGTTGGAAGACAATTGCATATCAGAAATAAATTGTTTCTAAAGAAAATGAGAAAATAACCAGCGTAAAGGCAAATGGTGATTGAGTTGCTTGAATAACTGACATCAATATTTCAATTTCAATATTTCATCTCTGCTTCTCAGATTGTCAACGAGTACACGGACTGGGATCGCACTTCACAGCATCCGATTAACACGCGCGATACGGCTGTCGCCGCGTTATCCGATGCCCAGTTCGTGGCGCCCATAGTGCGCACTGGGGATATATTGGCGGCCAATTCGCCACCGCCGGTGAGCTCGGCGACGCCCAGTGGAGCGGCGAGTGCCGCCGCCTCGACCTTGGCGGCGTCTACGCAGCCCGCGGGTCGCTGCTACTTCTATGTGTTCGACTATCAGACCAAGGATGGGGACTATCCCCAGCGCATGGGCACAGTGCATGGCGAGGACTTGCCATACATATTCGGCGCACCGCTCGTCGATGGCTTCAGCCACTTTCCGCAAAACTACACCAAGTCGGAGACGGCGCTGTCAGAGGCCGTCATGATATACTGGACGAATTTTGCGCGCACCGGGTAAGCTAAGTAGTTGCATTTGGCCGTTGCCTGTCCGATTCCCCCGCCCCTATCACACAGCATCCAAGTGCTTAGCCACTTACCGTAATTCAAGTCATCCAAGCGACAGTGCTTCTGCTATTCTAAACACTTCTCCTTCGTGTGCATCACTTAGTACTGATTGTCACCGTGCGAAAGGAAAGTAAAGTAAAGGAAAGTGCTTCCATGGACAGCTGAGCAGCAGTTTTCCGGCACCTGCTGCCTGACTACCTATGCAGCGAACAAACCGAACTTGAAGACTTTTCCCCTAGACATCAAAATGCCCGGAGCGGGCAACGAATATTCTCTGAAATACTCAACTAAAGTGTGCATCTTTGTCTTCCCTCTCCCCTTCCACTTTTCTTCCGATTTTAGCAACCCGAACGAACATCATCGCCAGGACTCTGTGCTGCCCGTCTCAAAGGAACGCAATCGCTTTCGCAGCATCACTTGGGAGAATTATGATCCATTGCATCAAAAGTATTTGGAAATAGGTGAGAAAATAACAAATGTTGCCTATGGAGAGGCAATTTTCATAGGTTACAAATTATAGATTAGGTGTGCATAAATATTACTATTTATTATAGTTATTAGCGATTTATTTTACTTAATTTGTAATTAATTTTTATTAT